CCCCCGAGACCCGCGAGCACCTCTTCAAGGTGCTGGTCATTGGGGAGCTCGGGGTGGGGAAGACCAGCATCATCAAGCGCTATGTCCACCAGCTCTTCTCGCAGCACTACAGGGCCACCATCGGGGTGGACTTCGCCCTCAAGGTCCTCAACTGGGACAGCAGGACGCTGGTGCGACTGCAGCTGTGGGACATCGCGGGTAAGCGCGGCCACCTGGGCCATGGGCCCCACTCTGTCCCCTTTCTTCCTTCCCTACTCTGTCCCCTTTCTTCCTTCCCTACTCTGCCTGAACTGCCTGCCCGTGTGGGCTTGGGGGGACAGAGGCCGAACCAAATGGCGAGATGCGGACGGAGGGCCGCTCTCTCCTGACCGGAGGGGAAGAAGCCCTGGGGCCTTTTCAGGAGTCTCAACTCTGAGAACTGACAAGTTTATAACACACGGAGAGGACTTGGGACGGCTGCTCTCACTGAGCCCTTAGGGAAGGTCAGAGTGTCTGGATGACTTCCCTAAACTCGCACTCCTGGTTAGAGACTCAACCAAGACCAAAAGCCAGGTTCCTTTCCAGATCATTTTTTATCACCATCCTTTGGCTGTGAGACCCGCCTTTGGGCGGCAAATTCCATTCCACCGATAACTTGCCCTCAGGTCACCAGGCGAAGATTTAGGAAAGCTTTTCTGTAAACTTTCCACTCTGCTTCCTCCCTCCCTAAACCAACACCTGGCTCTATGCTTGCCCCTTCCCCCCAACCCATCCCAAATACACTGTTCCTCTGGCATCTGGTTTCACTTGTCCTTTGGAACAGAGAATCCGTCCTTGTAAGGGAGTACACTTCTTGCTCTAGTTCATAAGCCCTTGAACTCTGGCTGCTGTGATGGGTGGGATGTGGGCATTTAAAAAGATGTTAACTTCTGTAAAGTTTCGTTAGGGAAAGAGTACCAACAGTTACCCTGCTTAATCACTGCAGGTATTCAGAAGCTGCATCCGTAGTAGAGTATCCAGTGGGAATTTGTTCAGGGTTGGAAGCCACTTTGGGTCACATCTTTCATCCTACTGACCCTACACTGAAGCCCATATATACCTGGCTGGAGGCAGAAGGTGGGAGGTGTGGGGGACACACACCTATCTGCTAAGTATTCTAGCTTGTTACATGAGAAAGTATTGAAAAAATGTAACCTATAACTCATTGATTTAAGAGCAATTTCTCTACCACAGATATGAGAATAAATTTATGTACATCAGTGCCTCCAAGAAAGCTGGTAATCGGCTTTGGGCTCAACTTTTTTTTTTTTTTTGGTTACTAAAACCCAAAAGTTCGTTTGAAAGTCATCTTTTGAAGCCAGACACTTTTTACGAAACACTTCCTGCTGTTGCACGCTAAGGAACAGTATTATTACAACTTGACAAAGTCATGGATTCTAAAAGTTGCCTTACCATGTGACGGTGAACCCTCGGGAATCTTCAGTGTAGCTCAGGATTTCCACAAAGGCGATTTGAAGGCCCTGCTTAGAAGGGTGATTGACTCTGCCTTATTCTTTATGTAAAATAGTAATAGTATTTTAGCTATAAAATTATAGATGGGTGCCACTGCAGGTGAATGAGTATGACTAACTAGATTTTTATGGCACAGTTGCGTTTTTAACCTTCAAATTAAAATGCTTATATTTAGAGACTTGAAGGGAAAAAAGCTGGAGTTTTCTTCCTGGGTGTCACCTCTTGACACCTTTTTTTAAACAAGCCTTAGTAGGCAGGAAGGGGATATTGCTGATCTTTATCGGACTGATATACATCTGTCTAGCTGGGGAGATATCCTTGCGCTTTTGACTAAATCCAAAGTTTGAGCGTTGCTAGGAAGGAAAGCAGAATTTTAACATCTCCAAAAGGGATTACTGGATATCAGATATTGTAGCAATTTCTATTACACCAATCAGCAAGTACATGCCAGTAATTAACAAAGCTAGAGGTAAACTTATTGAGGTAATTAGAAATTATGAGGCTCACTTTATAAGTAAAGTTTTCCAGAGATGGAATCTTAATATAAAGAAGTTGAGAGACAAAAATTGCTTAGTTTTAGCCTAAGGTTTGGGGAGCTACATCATTCTGCGTGGTTCAAATATTTAAGCTACTAGCGAATCCTGGCTCATACCATTTGAATTAAGTGGTAATGATGTAATGAAAAGAAACTGAAGACCGCTCCCAAAATTTCCCCGATGGCTAGACATGTTTACCTTATGTCGTAACAGAGTTGGATTAGATTTAATCCTCAAAGAATAGAAATATTCCTTGATATCGAAACAGTTGTTGGAGCTGTCCACTTGCTATGACTAACTTAAGATGTGGTGGTATTATTACTACTTAGATTTTATTTCTTTCTTTGTTTTGCTTCAGTGGTGAGCATGGCAGTAAAATTACGTCAGTGTTCTCTATCCTACAGGACGTTGTCAAGTATGATGGGCTCTATGTTTTCTGTAAATGTAACTAAGCAGATTTAGCAGATTTAAAAATACACATAGAGTTTAATGCAATTTTTGTGTAAGAGGATTGCTGTCCCTTAATTCATACCTGCTTTGAGAATGCTGCTCCACTAAAACACCCGAAATGGACTGAAATATTGAAGTCTTTGATAAGATTTTGAAGACCCTAACAAACTAGGATCTAAATTAAGACAAGGCAAGAGATGCTTCTGATTTTCCTTTAGTGCTTACTATTTATTGTAAGCTTCTTGCTTATTAGCAACTGCAGAATTTCCCAGGCAAGGTCAATGACGGGTCTAGGTTAAATCTTTAAAAAGTCTGTCCATTTCATTCTAACAAACATTAGTCTTCATGTATTCACTGAAGTGATTGATTTGCCTTTTAGGATCAAAATTTCTTTATAAAAATCTGAACACCCTTTTAGTCCAAAGATCTACTCTGAAGCTCATGAAAATAATATTTACCCAAGCGTCAAACGCATGCTTGGAAGATATTATCAGTTGTTTTGGCTATACCTAAATCCATTTTTCCTTGTTTTGTTTCCCATCCTAAAGAAGAATGTGTAACCCAAATTCCTTGTTCCCTCTAGTATTTTGCCCATTATTAAACTGGTAATCTCTTCCTGTCTTTTTCATAACTCTTCTATAGTCTTTTATGAGCAAGAGTACTGGAGTATTACCTCTGATACTTTCCTGACCTTAAAAGTATCTACTAGTCAGAGATTAGTAATAGTTAAGTTTATTCTAAATATGAAGAAGCAGTGCTTTGAGGATCTAACCCACATAGTTATTTGTAGTCTCTGTCTTCAACACAGAATACTGCAGTAAGTTTCCTAGAGTGTTATTGGTGTCTGATCACAAACTCATGCAGAAGGCTTTTCTCTTGCCATCCTCAGCCTTACTCAAGCTCAGTTGCCCTGCTGAATCACAAACAAAGCTAACTGTACCATTTTGAATCTTTAAATCTTTCACAGTCCCCCTTGGGTGCTACAGTCTGGACTGTGCATTCACAATTGCTCACTGGCATTTGGTCGGTGTAACAGCATATATTTATTACTGTATATGGAAATTCCTCTGATAATGATATGCCTGTCAACTTTCCCTTGTGAGTATGTTACCATCCTTAGTTGTCTCAGCTCACACAAGCTGAAAGATGCTCAGGTTAACGGTAGAGATAGTCCAGCATGGATAGATAGGAAGTTCTGAAACTTGCCTTTGTTCCCAGCCACTTGCTGGACCACTCTACCTTTTGGATTGAGAATGAATAACAGGCTTTTAGAGACCCTATAATCTAAGTGCAGGGACAGGGGTAGTAACTTGACCAAGAAAACACAGGTAACCAGTGGCACTGCATGGAGGCAGGTTTCATGTCTCACTTAGGAAAACAGAAAGCTTTTAATAACATAGCCAGTTTTTGATTGGTATCAAAACGGCACAATTCTTTTTTAACTTTCCAAATGTTTGGGTTAACCCTAAATTAGTCATGTATATGTTATCCTGACCTCCCCATTTTCTTAAGCTTTCAATTTGGAAGTTTCAGTGATTCTTACACCTTTTGAAAATGTACCCAGGATTGTGTTTTTCTTCAGGTATGCTGAGGCCAACACATCAGGAGATGATTGCCATTGAAAAGTGTTTTGTTACTTAAAGTTCTCGAGAGTAGGGGCATACCACACCCCACCGTACTGAAGGGAAAAGCCCCAGGGCTGGTCAGGAGACAGGAGCAAGGGATTTATGCATTAGAGACTTTATTATTTTCACAAGAAGGAATGGATAGGCAGGCTGAGCAAGTTTTGGATTAGCTTGTTTGAATTACTTCAGAGGGCTTTAGGCAGTAGGGGTGGCCTCTAGTTGTCCACTAATGACGCTGGGGGGTGATGTGGGGCAAGGGGATAGTATCCCAGACTGCAGAAGCCTACGCAAGGAGGCAGACAGCAGGGCATAGACTCAGGATTGGTTGGCTTGCATGTCAGGGGTGCTCCCTGAGGCAGCAGGTTCTTGGCTAGCTCTAGAAATAGCCCTGGGAGAGGCAGTGCCTTCCCAGGCCAGCAAGGCCACAGGATATCAAAGAACCATAAAATACGGAAAATAAAAGGCACATTTAATACACATTCCTAGACATTCACTAAAAGAGTTTGCGAGATGAGAGAATGTGCTCTTCCAAGTTAGAAAAATTTGAAGTTTTCAGATTTATAGCTCAGAAATAGCGTATCCTTAAAATAGTCAGGATTTCACACTTAATCAACACTTAAGTAATAGAGAGTGGGCTAAGTGGACAGGTTTAAGTCGTTGAGATGTTCTCTTGGATGGTGAAAAGCATACATAGAAATGTGCGGAGACTTCTGGAGGATGAGACAAAGATCAAGGAACGTTAGAATTCTGTTCAATTATGTTTTCAGAAGATTTTTGTATTTTTGTGATTGAGTAGGCTAGAAACAGGTAGCAGGCCTTCACTGTTCTTTTGAGAGAGTTAGAACCCCATGAAGATGAATGGATAGTAGGGTTTTAAGGATCTAACAGTCTTTGTATCTAACAAGCTCATGCTCTCTTCTTTCCTTCTCTTTCCCTTACTTTTGTCCAGATATTTTCCTTAAGCATCTTCTGCAGTGGTTTTTATTGCCTTTTGATATTAAGCTAAATATGTCAAGTTTTTTTTTTTTTAGCACCACCTCCATCCCAATCACCTGAGGTGCTCAAAAGGCAAATTCTTCAGCATCAATAGAACCAG